TTCCTGATGGCAAGGGAGTTTTTAATCTAAGTGAGAGATAGCTATATGCATAGACAATACAAGGAATGATAACAGCAAGGCAGGGAGAACTAACATGTTGACTAAGCATGGAATGAGCAGTTGAATCCAAATGGAGATTAATCCTAACTTAAAGCACTTTGTGCTCAAATATGTAACTAAAAAAATAACAGAAAAGAGATAAATATTATACTGTTAGCTCCGAGGCCCTAACCAAGTACTTTTGCCATAGTAATCATACATGACATTCTTAAAGCACTTGAATTGAGCCATTATGATGCCCAGCAGATACTTCATACTTCATTCCTCTAGAATGTAAGCTCCAATGACATCTTCTCGTCCCCTGACTCCCTAGTTCTCAGAACAGTGCCTGGCACAAAAAAGTGTGCATTCAGTAAATACCTGTTGAATAATTAGATTCTTATTTTACAGATGAGAAGACTGAGGCTCAGAAAGATAATTATATAAGCAAGGTTGCACAACTACTAAATTAAGGTTCAAAACCAAATTTCAGTATTTTTTCTTCAACTATAATGTCTGAAATCATTTGGTTATTACCTGAAATTTGGATATCATTTTATAATACTTCATGCTATCAAAATAATTGTTCTGAATGAATAATTTATATTTGTCACTAAATTTTAATTAAGTCAGAAATAGGAAAAAAATAAAATTGTCTAAAAGGAATAAGTTGGCTAATACTCCAGATGTATAATGAGAGTTTAAAAACTTTGTTTAACCATCTTAAGTGAGACAAAAGGAGACAGAATGCTGAATTTTTTATTAGATTTGAATTTTAAAAAAATGTAACAAAAAAGAAAGGAAAATCTACACTCATATTTCTCGCATGAAAGAAAAAATAAAAATAAGACTAATTGCTATTGTGCAAATAGATGTTACAAATTATACATAGGCTATCCATTCATTAAAGCAGACACAAGATGGCCTTTTTAGAAGCTGAAGACCTCCAGCTGGTTCAAATTACTATGAAATTCCTAAAAACAATAGAAATGCTTTTCTCTGGGGGAAAAAATGTATTTCAAACTGGTCCCCAAATAGTATGAAACAATAAAATATTAAAATAGCAACGTAAAGTACTAAAACAGTGAGATGGTATCCTTCTATGAGTCTAACACATATCAGTAATTCAATAAACATAGTTTAAGAAACAAATGACATTTAACTTCTGCCTGCTAACATTATTTCTTTAGAATATATTTCCTCTGTACTAGCTACACATATGTATCAATCCTTTCAAACATAAACTCATAGTATGAAAATATTTGAAAGCTGTAAAATTCATTTCACTTAGAAGTTCACTACAACAAATAAACTGTAAAATAATATTCTCAAACACAAAGAGAAAGCAACAATGTCCTAGATTCATTTTAAGATCCGAGTTTTTCCTCAAGGAAAACTCTTGCCAATTTTTTTAAGTGTTTTGTTAATCAGACTTCTCACCTGGCAAGAATAAAATGTAAAGTGGACAAAAATTCTGGAATTTCGTTTCATATCTTTCCACTGACTATACATATAAGAATAAGGAAGGTTGAAATGCAGTATTTTCTTTTGCTTATCTTAATATGGAAACACATCCACGGAAACATTCAGTCAAAACTCTGAGTTAGGAGAGTTTGATAGTAGTCTAGACTAAGTGAAATTAAGGGATAAAAATGTAAAATTTCATTTTAACCAATGGCTTAAATTTCCTTCTACACTAAACATTTTACCAGGAGCTTACAAAAATGTTCCAACTTTTCCCTCCTTTGAATTCTTACATTATTCCAATAAACATCTGAAAACATTTCATGTAAAATATACCTTGCTATTTGCCCGTAGCTTTATTTCAGCTAATGCTCACATCAATCTTGTGATATAATCTTCACTTAACACATAACTAAACAAGGCTTAGAGAAGCTAAATACCTTGTCCCTGTTTACAAAGCTGCCAGAGGCAAAGTCTGCATCTGAACTAAGGTTTTCTGACTATACCACAACTGTATGCCATCACTTTATTTGGTAATCACATTCTGCTGCCTTATAACACATTGTACTACTTTCGCTTTATATTACTTATGATTTCCTATGTCCATGTCTTTAAGAGCAACAATTGTGTTGTGCTTTCTTATAGTATCCTTTCAGTAAATTGATTCAAGTTGCTTGTATGACAGAATGCCAGACTACAAGTTTGAAAATTCTGAGCCACACACTTGTAAAATGAAAATAATACCAAAATAACTGAATGCTTACTGTGAATGCTTTCCATGTATTAATTCACTTACTCTTCACAACAGCCCTCTGAAATCAGTACATTATTATCCCATTTTGCAGATGCAAAACCTAAAGGTTAGAGAGGTTCTCTAACTTGCCCAAGATATAGGTTATAAATTAGGTGGAGGAGATAGGTTTCAAAGCCATGGTATTCTGTCTCAAGTGTTGCTTGCTTAATGTTCAAACTGTCCATCTAGGACTAGTGACTAAATGAAATCATTTGTCCATACAGTAGTGAGATTCAAAAAATTTTAACTCTGGGCACTAATTTCTTAGATGTGACACCAAAAGAACAGCCAAATAAAAGCAAAAAATAGACAAATGGGACTGTATCAAACTTAAAAATTTCTATACATTAAAGGACACAATCAACAGAGTGAAACATAACCTACAGAATGGGGAAAAAAATGCAAATCACCTATCTGATAAGGGGTTAATATCCAGGTTTTATGAAAAACTCCTACAACTAAACAAAAAAATAACCCAATTGAAAAATGGGCAAAGGACTTGGACATTTCTCCAAAAATGATACGCAAATAGCAAACAAGGAAATTAAAAACAAACACACACAAAAACGCAATGAGATATTACCTTACGTTTGTTAGTATGATTACTGTCAAAAAAACAAACAACAACAAAACCAAGCAAAGAGAAAATAACAAGTGTTGGTGAAGATGTGAAGAAAAACGGAACTCTGGCACACTGTTGGTAGTAAAATTGTACAACCGTTATGGAAAACAGTATAGTAGTCTTCCCAAAAAGTAAATTGTACTATCAATATAATCCGGCAATTCTATTTCTGCTGGAGATATAAATATATATCTCGAAAAGAACTGAAAGCAGATTACAAGGAGATATTTGCACACCCATATTCATAGCAGCATTATCTGCAATAGCCAAAACATAAAAATAATCTACATGTCTATTGACGGATGAATGATGGATAATGAAATTTTGGTATATAAACGCAATGAAATATTGTGCAGCTTTAAAAAAGGAAATCCTACAACATGCTACAGCACAGATAAACTTTGAGGACATCATGCTAATTGAAAGAAGCTAGTTAAAAAAGACAGGTTCTCGAATAACATTGCTTCATTCAACCTCATTTTGTTATAAGGTTGATGAGAGGCCATAGGAATTTAACTTTTGTTTATATTAATTAGCCTATGAAAAATTTCGCATTATATGTCGTTTGGCTTAAAGTTGCAGAACCTATGGACTATGTTAAGTAAGTAATTGCTGTATATGATTTCACTTAAATAAGGTATCTAAAGTTGTTAAATTTTTAGAGAAAGTAGAATGGTGAATGCTAGGGGCTGGTGGGTGGGGAAAATAGGAAGTTGTTTAACCAGTATAGTTTCAGTTCTGTGAGATGAAAAATTCTGGAGATCAACTGCATAACAATGTGAAAATGGTTAACATTACTAAACTGCACACTGAAAAATGGTTAAACTGGTAAACTTTAAGGGCTTTCTCCCACCTTTAAAAAAATAATTAACTCTTCTTTTACTTCCCTTTCCTGTCCTCTCTGGTATAGTATTTGAAAGTGATGTAATGAAGGAAAACAAAGAATACTGGGGCTTCAACAATGTAGAAACAAATTAAGAAAACAGTAAAACAGAAAACCCCACATTCTTATCATCAATAATATTCTTCTTAACCTGGAAATACCTTGAATCTCCAGTAAAAGAGTATCCTGTTAGCAAGGCAATAGAGCGTAGTGGTTCAAGGCCTTTTGGAGCAGAAAAGCTCAAATACTGTTCTGACTCTGCTACTAATTACCGTGTAGCCTTGTGTTAAGATATTTTTAGTCATCCAATCCATCCATCTATCCATCCAAAAGACAGTCCATTTCCATACGGGCAAACCCATTCAAATGAATTCCATACCTCTACTTTGGATTTTTTCAGGAATAAATGAAGTAATTCATATAAAACACTAGGCACATGATCTGCCACTTTCTAAGTGTTCAATAAGTGTTGGCCATTATTATTACTGTAAAGCCTAGAGAGCGTGCCTTTAAATCCTAGGTAGGACATGAACAGGATGAATTCGGCTAAAAGATGTCCAGGACTGTTCCTCAGAGATTCGCCTAATTTGTTGATAATTATGGTGTTTTCAACTCAGGTGCTATTTAGAAACTCATTATCATTATAAATCTTGCCAAATTTGTGCTCCTCTTTTCTAAAGGAACTCCCTCCCAGGGAAAAGCAATGTCATCTCAGGTATTCGAAAATGTTTGCTCTGGGAACAATATTTTACCCCAGAGATGGTGGAACCTGAGACCTGTACCTTCGCGACTAGAGTTCCCAGTTCCTTTCACTTCACTAGGGGCCTAGGCCTTATTTGGGGGTGAGGATGGGGACATAGCGGGGGCACAACTGAACACCCAGAAATAAAGCCCACACCGGTAAGGCTAATTTGGGACCAGACAAACCTCCCAGGTGGTCAGTCTCCAAAAACAGACCAGGGAGGGAACGAACAAGGCTTGCCTGTCAGCTAAGAGCAGGCATTTCGCAGGCAGGCTGGTCAGGGGGAGTCTCGTGCAGCCCATCCCAAGCCCGTACCCAGCCGTCTGAGGACGAGCCCGCAAAGGGGTCGGCCTGACCCAGGATCCCGCCGGCATCAGACAGGCAACGGTGGGGGCGGGGCGGGATACACGGAGGTGAGGGGACCCGGCAGCGACTGAAGGGACACCGAGGGCCTCACCGCGGGCTGAGGGCAGTGGGTAGAGCTTCTCGGCCTTCTGCAGGAAACGCTGGGCCTTCTCGCGGTCGCCGGCGCTCAGGGCCTCCCTGGCGATCTCGACACATTTCTCCGCTTCATCCCTGTTCCCCTCCATTGCTTGGCTTGAGCTTTCTTCCGTTTCCTTTGGGAGCGCTGCTACCAGGGGGCGGAAGCCGCCGCCGAGGAGGCGAGGCCGGCCCGGGTGGGGGCGTGCGGAGGCGAGCGGGAGGAGCAGAGAGACCAAGGCGGTGGCAGCCTGGACAGACTGGCGGGCTCGCAGCTCCGCCTCCTCACGGCCCGCCCCTCGTGGGCCGCTACGTTTGGATCCGCATCTCCAGACCCACCAAACCCGGGCGCCCGAGCCCACTCGGCGGTGTCTGCGCGGCGCCAAGCTCAGAGCAGATCAACCCAAGGGGGCGGGCGGACGACACCAGCCCGGCAGCGCCGGTGGGACTCCCGCTAAGGCTGCGGCCCGCATTGGCCGCGCCGTGTCCCCCGACTGCCTCGTGCAGCCCGTCTTCCAGGCTGCTGGAGCAGCGGTGCGGAGGTGAGGATGCTCGTTTTCAGAGAATTCCCATATATCGGAGGCCCCGCCTCCAGCCCCCATAGCCTGGGGAGGATTTGGTCAGGTGACGACCCCGCTGTCAGTCCCTAAGGCAGTGCTTCCTTCACAGGTGTTGACGAACACAGTAGAGCGTTGTTAGACCCTAAGTCTAGGTTTTTTGGGGTTTTTTTTTAAAGCTACACACCATTTTCCTGACCCAGATTCCATAAATTGTCTCATACCAATGAGGTTCAAAGCAGACCGCTTGCAATTCTGGCCTTAACCTAACCCCTTTAAGACCAATAATAAGGAAGGAACCAACTTTCTGGGAATACATTACCATCACAGAAGTAAACTACTTTGTTTTCTCCCTAATCCCATTTTCATAACATTGCCACTGTGAAATGTTGGGGGCTGAGGGGCCCTTACTGCTTGGGAATATTATCACCCAAATTATTAAAAATTAACAACTTGCCAGAAACCGTATGTCAGAATACTCAACCCAGTAACAAAATATTTACAATGTTCATTCAAGCGTTTGTTAACCTGTTGGAAATACCAAATCTTAGGGGCTTCCAAGAAATCCTGAATCTCTTCTATAAAATGTAGTAATACCCACCCCCCCACAAAGATGTTAGTGAATATTGAACAATTTAATTCAGAGACTTCAAAACTGTGTAGCACACAGAAAACACTATTCTCAAGTCTAAATTAAACAGTTCGGTCTAGGGAGGTGGTAGATACAGGACTTGCCTACCTGCTCTCACCAAGTCCACCAAAGCAACACTGTACCAGTGTAGTACTGTCACATACAGCAAGTTTGGCCAAGACACAAACTGAGATAGACAAATAGCTTAAAACTTGTCCCATTCCAGTTCCTGCCAAAGTTTTAAAATCTTTAATAGCTAACTACATAATATTAAAAAAAATTACAGTTGGGTCTGCTAACTATTGATCTACAGAATTAAGTTTAACTTCTGGAGAATATGCTTAACTTATTATTGCTGAATGATACCTATTCAAAAGAAAGATGTTTCTATTAAAGTCAAGCAAATTTAAAACAACTCGTTTGGGATATGACCTTTATTGAGCTTATCCACCGGAGTGGAAATAATGTCTGTACAAAACCAAATGTTTGTTACTATAACTTCTGCATCACAATTAAAATCCAAACAGTTTTTTAAAAACAGTCAACTCAATCAAAACCCACTACTTCAGAATCAATAGCTTCTTTGAAGCCACAGTAACACTTAAATATGGTTAAGACTCGAATGCAGAAATTTGGTTGGTTGGAATGCTAATTAAACTTCCAACTTGCTCAAATAGAATTACAAAAAGGCAAAATTGTGTTTTTCACAGAGATACAGTCCACTGGAATCACCAACACTGGACAGCTGTTAGAGTATTTAGAGTCCTGAGATAATAAGAAATCCCGGCATCCTTTAGACAGTCTTCTGTTGTCCTTTCTTCCCAATCAGAGATTTGTGGATGTGTGGAATGACACCTAGGAGAGGGATAAGGATTAATTCTACTTTTTAATAAACATTTTAAAATACACTATATTTAAACCAGGACAGCTTACTGTTCAACTTGGAAGATGTCTTTAAATGTGAAGTAAACAGTCATTATCCCACAAATCGTGTTTCACTATGCAACCATACTGTATGTTAGTGAAATACTCAGGTGTTCTCTTTTAGGTTAAAAATTACTAACGGGGATCTTTTAAAAAGCAAAGAAATATTTTCTCTAAAGAAATTTAAGTAAAACTTTAGTATTTACATACCACCACCAGCAATTGTAGCCTTGATGAGAGAGTCCAATTCTTCATCTCCACGAATAGCAAGTTGCAAATGACGAGGGGTAATACGTTTTACCTTTAAGTCTTTTGATGCATTTCCTGCTAATTCAAGTACCTAGAAGGCAGGGGGGCTAATCAATCTCTTTTTCAACTCTTGTTTAGGCCTAGATCCAAAGAACCATAACCTCCCTCCTCCACTACCTGAATGTCAAGATACCATAAACTCCCTCCCCTCTCCACTACCTGAATGTCAAGATACTATAAAGTATAAAAGGGGCACGCAATTTTATTTCCAAGACCAGCTCAAGCTCAGTAGGTTCCTTTAATGATAACCAGCTCCCTCTAGCGTTCCCAGAGCCTTCTCGCCGCGTTTAGGGCCTGGGAGTTTTCTTGCATCACTTTCCTCCTTCCCTCTCGCCACCTACCCCCGCCTCCACCCCCCCTCCCCAAACCTTTTCAGATTATAGGCGTACACCCATTTACCTCTGCGGTGAGGTACTCCAGAATGGCTGCGCTGTACACAGCAGCAGTCGCGCCCACACGTCCATGACTGGTCGTCCTAGATTTCAGGTGCCGATGAATACGGCCCACCGGAAACTTCATTTTAAGCACAAACAAATGCACAAAGATAAGAGTCAAAGATGAAAAAATTATACGCGGCCAAAGCAAGGGGCAAGGGCACTGGTGCAGCAACGCTCTCCCGTATCGACACACGTGATCGCCCCCCTCCCCGATATTTATCGTATGGGCAAAACAAGTCGCGACACCGCATCACCCACGCAAAGACGAAACGCCCATCTACAGCGATGATAAACAAGAAAGGAGGAGAAAAACGTCACGATTCCCAGACTGCACCGAACCACCACTGACCTGCAAGCCGGCTCTCTGCGAGCGGGAAACCGCCTTTGTCTTGGCCTTTCCGGAGTCTTTCCCAGCCTTACCGCCAGCCTACGGCGCGCACATGCCCGCGAGGAAGGAGAAACGGAGAATATAAGATTACCAGGGCGGCGCGCCCCTCCCCCACCACGGCGCGGCGCAGCCCGGGCGCGAGCGCGCCCCCGTGCTCCGCCGGGGTCTCGGCCCGCGGCGCGCCGCAAGGGCGACCCCGCCTGCACGCCCCCCGTTGCGCGCCCGTCGCGGCCGCGCGCCTCCGTCCGCCTGTCCGCTGGCCCCTAGCGGCGCTGCGCGCGCCACCCAACCGTCGCCGCCCGCTGCGAGATCCGAGGCGGCTGTGCTCGCCACCGACAAATCACCTCCCCCCGCTCTTCCAAATCGTATCTCCGCGCGTTCCCAACCGTCGCCACTTCACCCTCATCTTCGTGTGTAACGGATTTTTCTCCGCTGGCAAAAACCCGCGGAGCCTTCAAGAGCCTCTGCGAAGTTTACCATTTCGAATCCTGCTGAAGCTCAAACAAGCAAGGCAGAGAAAGGACTAGTCAGGCACCCAGCGAGATCCCACCGCCTACTCCGTCGCACCGCGATTCAAACTGCGCTGTCTCCCGCCTTCCCCGCTCCCTTTATACTGCAGAATGTTCCCTCATCCGGGAACTCGGATTGCTCATCCCACCAATGGCTGCCACCCGCCCTCGAGACGCGTCCTTGAGGATTCAGCCAATGAACAAACGCAGAAAAAGGCGGAGGGGCGGGCACTTCGTAGCTCGAACCGCTATTGGGACGTGAGGAGGGAGGGGGGAGAGGGCGGGGGGCTTAGGAACTGGAGAGAAGAAGGGCACCGCGGCGGGAGGAAAGAAACAGAGCGAGCTACACTGCAGGAACGAGGGCACCCTCTGCTAGCGGTCACGTGTCTGGGAGGAGGCGCTGAGAGGCTTTGGGGAGGAGCACGCAGTAGCGCCCCCTGGTCTCGTAGCCGGGTTCCGGTGACCACGTGAAGTCGCCTCCGGGTCTAGCGCTCCCTCCTTCCTGTGCCGCCCTCACCGCCCCCACACACCCCCTCGCATAAGAGGCAGGGACCGACTGGCTACAGCCTTCTTCCGGAGCACCCTCCTCCTCACCCTACTACGTATCCCTTCGGTTTGACAGGTGGCGCGAATGCGTCTTCTGAAAGGAGCTCGGACTCCTCTTCCGTAGAGATTTTGCGTTACTACGCCGTAGGCGAGTCCCCAGCCACCGACTGTGCACGACCCTGTGCCCCCACTTCCTTTTCAGTAGTAGCTCCCACTTCTTCCTCTTTCACTACTTTTGAAACTCCCCGCGGGACAATTACACGGGAACAAACCGCGTAGCAAAGTCACCTCGCTGAACATAAAAGACCTTTTGGTCTACGCCCAGAGGGCTTAGGGTGAGGCGCTATTATTTTCTTGAATCAGATCTTAAATTAGATTTTCCTGGAGACTACCCAGCAGTGGGTTGCACCTATAGCCTGGTGTTTAAAGTTGATTTAGTGATAACTTAAAGTTACTCTGTGTCAATTTTTCTATACTAAACACTTTGCTACATGACAAACGACAATTGTTCTGTGTGTCGTTGGGTAACTAACTTCTAATGTGATTCGCAGGCAGTTACAGATGGTCCGTGTAATCAATTGCAAATGGTGGGCTTAAAAAAATAGTACTGTACACGCAGTACTAGCACAATGCCAGTTATTTAGTCTTCCAACTAACACCTGTGTATATCTCCAGCTGCTTGGAGACAGTAGTGATTTAAATCATATTTGTAGTGTTTGTTAGTGTATTACACTAAACATTTCCGACGTGATGACACTATGAAATATGTACTCAAATTCTTTGGATCGAGTTTCAATTCGAAAGCTTTTATTAAATTAAAAAACCTCTCTATTTTAAGGAATTTAGTATATTATTTTCTAAATTCTAGAAAAGAAGTTCTCAACAATTTTTTACACAAGGCTTATTATTTCTTCCCCTTGGAACTGAGGAATTCTTATG